CTAGCCGCCAGCCCCTCATTATATTTATATTTAACTTAGAGATGAGATATTACAAGGATGCCCTTAGTAGGGTGGCTACTAAAACTGAATAGTCACAACTTTAAAAAATAAAAAACTAATGGGCCGAAGGCCCAACAACTTCCTAATTAAATAAAAACAAACTAAAGACAAACTGGGCGACTCAACAAAACAAATCGGTCCACTCAACAGAAAGCGTAGAAGATGTTTGAATTACCAACAATCAAAGTGGACCCTATTTTGGATAGCTTTGTTGACAGTTTGGGTCCAGGGGCATTTGGGTGTTCATCGATTGGGTTTCTTGGGTCTTCCTGTAACAAAAGTCATCTTTTTGGGTGGTTTCTATGAAGTTAGTTTGTTCTTAATGAGTTATTTCTGAAGGTACCATTTTAGGGGCTTGTTTGTAAATATTTTAGTTGGCTTCTCCAGCAAGGCGCAAGCAATTGAGCCTTATAAAAGAGAAGGGTGTTGTTTTTGTGGGGATATTTTTTGTTCTCTCTCTTGTTTGAGCTATAATTCATCCCTAGCTAGGGAAGTATTGGGAGCTTGGGTTTTGAGGATTCAACCCATTTTGATGCCTTCCTGAACCCTCCCTTTATAGCATGTCCACACGAGAGACCAGCCTGACACCAATATTACTCTAGCAGAATTGTTCCAAGAGTTCTACTTCAGGTTCAGGTTTGAAATCCCTAAGAATTCAACTTGTTTTGTTGTTTTCAGCTTGGTATTTTTATGCTTATTGTTGTACACTTGAAGTGCTGCATATAACTTGTAAAAAATCCATGCCATTTCCCTTGTCTTCTCATTCTACTTTACCAGATTGAAGTTTGATAGAAGATTAAACAATGCTGAACTGAATGCACAAAGGAACCTTTTTTTTCTTTTTTCTTCCTTTGGTCATAACTCATAAGACAAAAAGGACATTGTTAAGGGTTGTCTGACTACTAGGTGGCTTAAGAGTTGTTAAAAGCCATCAATATGCTAGTTAGGTTGTCTCCTCAGATTGTACAGAACTAGATTTATTGATGTGACAGTATTTCTGGCATGTGTGAGCATGTGTGAGCATGCTCGTTGATAGTATGTTGTTGCATGTTGTTGTTGTTTATTACCTGTTTAGATCTGGATTGGTGAAAAGAATGACTAGAAGGAAATGCTAGTCATTTGTTGGTGAATAATCCCTAAAAATGATTCAGCCTCATCCTTTTATTACAAGAATAAAAAAAACAACTCAAACAACTAGTGAATTGAGCTGCCCCTGAAACTGCTAGTTGTTCTATCATGTTAAGATCATCCACATAAGACCTGTATGAATCCGACTTCTCAAGGTCGAACCCTAGAAAGCACAATAATTAGGAAAGAAACTCACACATCATTTAGGCATTTTGTAAGATGCTTATAGATAGAATAGATGGTTAATAGGTAATTTGGTTATATGGACAGAGGTAAAAATCGAAACCATCAGGAAGATAATCCTTGACCAATAATGGAAGAGAAAGATGTTAGACAGTTTTGTATGCCCTTAGCTTCAATCAAGAATGATGTACTTTATGAATTTATTGTAAATGAATAAAAGTACATATTTGATTCATGTTCCCTTGGTATGTTTCTGTGTAAT